GGGTGGGTCCAGTTGCGAAAGGAGGGTCGAAGAGAGGTTTGGGTGGCCACGTTGAAGTGGAGCTTTCCAGTCGCGGATTCAGCTTTCGGGCGAGCGGTGGCGGGCTGGGCTGGCTGGGCTGTCTGGGCTGGCTGGGCTCGAGACTGTGCTGTGCTGTGCGGTGTGTTGCGTTGCGTTGCATGTGTGTTTGGGTGGCTGCTTCGGTGGGCGGTCATCGGCATTAATTTTGAACTCCAGCGTGATTTTCCAGCTGCTTCTGGCTCGGCTGGGCGGAATTAGAGCTGAATACCGTGAAATGCACGCTCTGCCGTCACCTGTTCCTTTTTTGGGGCAGAGCGTCGGGTGAATCGGCGCGGAGTGTGCCGCACCTGGTCTCAGCTAGAGCTCTCTGTGCGTGTTGTTTTCGCGAAGCGGTCAATTCACAACCAACACCCAACAGCGCTTTAATTTCCGTCGGTCACCTGCTCGCCTCCACCAGCCCCTGACCAGTGTTCAGTCTTGGCTGCCACGCCATGCCGTGCCTCCTGTCTTTGTGCACAGCCTGAAAGTCTGTTGGCACTTGCGACCTTTGGTGCAGGTCATCGTCACAGGGCGAAATGGCAGTCTTGTATTCTTGAAAGTGACAAGGGTCCCCTTTTTGGCCGTGTGGTAGCGAGGCCCCTCGTAGCTGCATGTCAACTCATCACTCCCGGAAAAAAAGGATCGACGGCAACACGTTCCTTCACCTGAACCGTAACTGCATCGCCCTCCGTCCGCTCACAACGTGTTGTCATTGCCGATCCACCGATGCCTGAACGTGCCTAGCCCGGATCCACTCACGGACTTTGAGCGTATCGAGGCTACTTGTCGATCGTGCATAGCCCAAAGCTGAAGCTGAAGGTTCGGTCACGACGGATGCATGGGCTGGGTTCGAGGTCCAAGAGCGTTGCGCCCGATTGTTCTCCACAAGAACGCAGCGGCTTTGTTGGGGGCAGAAAAGGGGCGGCAGCAGTAGTGAGCAGCTCTGCATGCTCGACGTGTCGTCACTCGATTCCACCGAGATGCAGACTTTTTGAGCCTCATCTTCGTTTTCGGCTGGGGGCCACGCTAGAGGAGCCGAAACCGGTCCATTGACCCAGCGACCATCCTGATGCGGGGTCACGAGACACACCCTGGATGAACGCACATGGTGGGCCGGCGTCCAACTTTGACTCCATCATGGTGCGGTGCTCTGACGTGTGATTTCCTCAAGAGCAGTTGCGAGTCGCTCTGCCAGCAGCAGGTCAGTCCGTCAGCTTTCAGTGCGGACATTCAGCATGCAGTCATTCACCGAGCCAGGATCTCACGTTGCTGGGTGGAAATGCCGATGACGTCGGCGCCCGACAATTTTTGAAGGATTATGTTAGGCCGTAGCAGTTACAGGCCCAAAAGTCGCTGCTGCTGACAAAGGCTCAGGTCATTCGAAAAAGTCTGGCGAGGCTCGGAAGGCAGGCTGAGGCGCCTGCGAAGAAAAGCGAGAACCTCGAGTTGCTCGGAGACGGTGGAAGTATCGCACCCTCTCATCGTCACCAAAGTCCACATCGACAGGTCCTTTCGACCACAGCACCCTCTCAACCCTATTCTCGACGAGCAGACAGCCAGCAGCTGGCGTGCCTGTGCCCCGTATATCGTCATGCGGCCGAGCATTTCCAGCTCCCGGGCTGCCAGCCTGGTTCTGCAACAGAGACTGGCCTCCTTGACTATCCAGACCCCTCGCCTCGCCGCTGCCGCCACCCAGCTCGGCCGATCGTCCGCTCTGCAGAGCTCGTCATCCACTTGCGTTCGAGCCGCGCTTCACACCTCTTCCCGCACCGCTCAAGCTGCACCAGCGCCGACACCTAAGCCGGCATCCGAACCAACCAAAGCCGAGCAGGAGATCTCCAAGTGGAAGCCCACTTCCAAGCGCGTCGGCCTGATCGCCGTCAAGCGCGGTATGACCTCCTTCTTCTTGCCCAATGGAGAAAGGATCCCGGCCACCGTGTTGCAGGTCCACTCCAATCAGATCTCGGCGCATGTTGGTTTCGGCGAGAACGCCAACGAGTCCAACTATACCGCCCTGCAAGTGGCCGCCATCGATACCCCGACGCCTTGGCACGTCACAAGGCAGGTCCGAGGTCATCTCAAGAAGGCTGGTGTTAACACGGGCAAGAGGGTCATCCACGAGTTTCCCGTCAGCGCAGACGCGCTTGTGCCGCTGGGCACGAGGCTTTCGGCCGTCCATTTCGTGCCCGGTCAGTCGGTCGACGTGCGCGGCATCACCAGGGGCCACGGCTTCCAGGGTGTCATGAAGAGACACGGCTTCCACGGTCTTCGAGCGTCGCACGGTGTGTCGATCTCGCATCGTAGCCACGGTTCCACCGGTCAGCACCAGGACCCAGGCCGTGTGTGGCCCGGCAAGAAGATGGCCGGTCGCATGGGCGGCAACAAGCACGGCACCATCCACAACCTGCTTGTCGTCCGTATCGACGCGGAGAAGGATCTCATCTACGTCAAGGGCAATGTTCCAGGACCCAAGGGTGGCGACGTGACCGTGCAGGATGCGCGCCGACCCAGCTGGAAGGGCGAGAAGATGTACAGGAGAGGACGACTGCCGACGGGCGAAGCGCTCTCGGGCAAGGAGCCGGACTCGATCTACCTCGCAACAGGCGTCGACAAGCTGCCTTTCCCTGCAGGCACCAAGGCCATCGCCGACAAGCTGCCTGCCATCGTCGAGATTGGCCTCACTCAGCTCAACTCGCCCAACAAGGCATGATTTGTCCTCCCTTTCTTCGCAGGAAAAGGCACATTGTGGCCTTTCCTCTTTCCCTTCTCCCATTGTAACACTAGCAACTCGATTCGAACATCCTTTTTCCATTCATGGGTGTGCAGAAAGACTTGCGCTGATGAGGAGCTGCGAGACAGGCCCAGGAGAGGAGGCACAGCGGCTTGAGAGAAGCTGGCATCGGGTGGCAGCCAGATGATGATGGCGGCTGGGTCGCGTGTCTTTGCCTGTTTTTTTTCCGGGAGCGATTTCGCATTCACCCGAGTCGTGGGCTTGGGCAGGCCGTGGCGGCAAAGTGGAAGCTTTTCGAGCGATTCCGAGAAATTCCACTTGGCAGCGGCGGACCCTTCCGCTCAACTGCGCACCTTACGACACTCACATCACTACCTCGACACCATCCTCATCCTCACACCAAAAGTAGCTCAACTGCGCTCCGTCGATCGATACCACCCCACACATCGCACCGCTGCGCGCCATATCGTTTGATCCGCCGCACCGAGAGTTGTCAGGCACAACACTTCTATCACCTAACCTCCTGAGGTCCACATCCGTCCGCTTGGCCTCCGCTCGGACTACCGGCTATCTGCATTTGCCACGCCAACCACTTTCATCCTACGCCGGACTCGATACTAGAACCAAGATGGTAGGTACCTTTGGCTGCAGTAGCCATATCTGCGTGTCCAGCTGTGGCAGTGGAGCACGACGCTGACCTTGCTTCGATCTCCCTCGTTGTTGGCTCATTTGGCGGCACATCACAGTCTCTTCCAAAGACGCTCGCGCAGATTCTGTTCGTCGGAACCCAGATTGTGGGCAAGGCGCTTCTCGAAGCTGGACGACAAGCAGGACGGAATGCTCGTGCAGGCCGAGTGGAGGCCGCGGCAGGCGCGGCCGGTGCAGGATCCGGTTCGGCTGCATCGCCATCAGACCAGCTCACAAGGACACATCGCATGACGCTCGACGAGGCCAAGCTGATTCTCAACCTCAAGCAGGATGTATCGGCGGCTGGCTTGAGCGGAGGCGAAGGCAAGACTGTGCTCGAGCAGGTGCGCGAATCCATGGTAAAGAGCTACGACCACCTTTTTGCCACCAACGCACCACCAGCACCAAAAGGACAGAAGGGCGGCGGAGCCGGCTCGTTCTACATTCAGAGCAAGGTCGTCCGCGCTCGCGAGAGGATCGAGGCCGAGTGGTCGCTCTTGGATGCGGCCAAGAAGCCCGAGGCGGATGCGGCCGAGACACCCGCCAACGCAGCCAACAAGCCCGAGCAGTCCGACAAGTCGCCATGACGACCCCAGTGGACATCTTTTGCAAAACGACCATAGATCGACGACTCTCTTTCCTCTGGCAGACACTGCAGCCAGTAGCTTTCGGAAATGTCGACTGTAAATACTGTATCATCACCAACCTCATGCTTGCGCCCAAGGCAGTCAGCTCTTCAAGCTCGCATAACTGCATATTCACCATTCTTCGCTCTTCTCCTATCTCTGGGCTAGCATGCGTGATTCAAAGCTTGGCTACGATGGTGACTTGTGCTCGTGTGGCCGGTATGGCCTCGATTCTTCTTGCCACGCTCGTGAAAACAGCTGATTGCAGCGGCACTTCGGGTCGATAGTCCTCACGACTCTTCACAGCTGGCCAGCCGTTGGCTCTGTCACGAAAGCAAGGCAGTGGTGGACAGTCCCACAGGAATGAGCGGCTCTGTTGATGTGTGCCACCCAATTTGTGGAGGAGGAGGACGAGTCGAGCGGAACTCAAAGCGTTGTGGAAGCGGGGGTGACTCGCTCACGAGTTGACTCGGAGGTGGAGCCGAGAAATTGAGCTCAAAGCTTGGAGTGGCGGCGCAGTTCCAAAAATTGTGCCGCTCTCGAGCCGCGATTGTTTCTTCCAGGTTCTAGGCCAGGCCAGGCGAGGCGAGGCGCAGCGGCATGCCCGACCCTTTTTTCTTTGCGCAGCCCGCACGTACCTCCAATCGTCGAGCCCAGCTCCTCCTCTTCCTCCCACTACGACGACCGCATCTCACCACCTTCATATCACACTGGAGTGAGGTCATCCGAATCCAAAGCAACTCGATCCTCGACATCACACCCTCCATCACGCCAGCGGACCCGCCACACGACCGGCCGATCCGCGCACGACATCATGGCGTCTCCATTCCCAGTGGCTCTGCCCGTGTCCGAGACACGGGCGCACAACGACTCGCCTTCGGTGCTCATGAAGGTCACCACAGAGACTGCGCGTAGGAACGAGAAGATCCTCCCCAAGGACGGCGAGCCCAACATCCTCGTCACCTCCGCCCTGCCCTACGTCAACAACGTGCCCCACCTGGGCAACATCATCGGCTCCACCCTCAGCGCCGACGTATACGCACGATACTCGCGCACGCGCAATCGCAACACGCTCTACATCTGCGGCACCGACGAGTACGGCACCGCCACAGAGACCAAGGCGCTAGAGGACGGCGTCACACCGCAGCAGCTTTGCGACAAGTACCACGCGCTCCACGCTCAGGTCTACGAGTGGTTCCAGATCGGCTTCGACCACTTTGGCCGCACCACCACGCCCAAGCAGACCGAGATCGCACAGGACATCTTCCTCAAGCTCCACAAGAACGGCTATCTCGAGGAGCGCACCATGACTCAGCTCTTCTGCGAAAACTGCACGCGCTTCCTCGCCGATCGCTACGTCGAGGGCGAGTGCCCGCGCTGCGGCTACGACGACGCGCGCGGTGACCAGTGCGACAAGTGTGGCCAGCTCTACGATGCCGTCGAGCTCGTCAAGCCCAGATGCAAGCTCTGCTCGTCGGCGCCCGTCCAGCGCGAATCCTCGCACATGTTCATCCGCATCGACCAGCTCCAGCCCTTGACCGAGGCGTGGGCAAAGGAGCAGGCGCAGAAGGGCGGCTGGAGCTCCAACGGCAAGTTCATCACCGAGAGCTGGTTCAAGGAGGGTCTCAAGCCCTTCAGCTTGACGCGCGACCTCAAGTGGGGTGTGCCCGTCCCCATCAAGGGCATGGAGGACAAGGTGCTGTACGTGTGGTTCGACGCGCCCATCGGCTACCCGAGCATCACCGCCAACTACACCGACGAGTGGGAGCAGTGGTGGAAGAACCCTGACAACGTCAAGCTCTACCAGTTCATGGGCAAGGACAACGTGCGCTTCCACACCGTCATCTTCCCCTCGTGCCTCATCGGCAGCAAGGACCCCTACACGCTGCTCCACCACATCAACACCACCGAGTACCTCCAGTACGAGGGCGGCAAGTTCTCCAAGTCGAGAAACATCGGTGTCTTCGGCGACAAGGCGCGCGACCTCGGTCTGTCGGCGTCCGTGTGGCGATACTACCTGCTGGCCAACCGTCCCGAGACGGCCGATAGCCAGTTCGCATGGCGTGACTTCATCGCGCGCAACAACTCGGAGCTGCTCGCCAACCTGGGCAACTTCTGCAACCGTGTGCTGACGTTCATGAAGAAGTACGACTATGTCATCCCGGCGATTCCGGCCGACTCGGAGCTGCGCTCGTACAAGGAGGGCCCGCTGGTGGCGGCAGCGGAAGAAGATGCATCGGCGAGCGTGCTTTCGCGCTTCGCACGCGATGTGAACGCCATCCTGGCGCAGTACATTGCGTCGATGGAGGCGGTCAAGATCCGATCGGGTCTGCAGCACATGATGGCGCTCTCTGCGCGCGGCAACGTCTTCCTGGTGGAGTCGCACTTTGACAATGCGCTCTTTAGCGACAACCGCGCGCGCTGCGACGAGGTGATGATCGTTGCGCTCAACCTCATCTGGCTGCTTTCGGCGCTCATCCATCCGTTCATGCCCGAGACGTCGGATGCGATTCTGAAGCAGCTCGATGCGCCTCCGCGCACCGTACCCGACGACGGCAAGTTTGCGCTCGACCTGCTCGCCGGCCACAAGATCGGCAAGGCGTCGCACCTGTTCAAGCAGATCGACCCGAAGCAGGAGGAGGTGTGGCGCGTTCAGTTCGGCGGTAGTGCCGATGGGCCGTCGCAGGAGGAGAAGCCGCAGATGAGCAAGAAGCAGGCCATGAAGGCGGCCAAGGCGGCCAAGAAGCAGGCCGAAGCCGCAAAGCCCCAAGTGAAGAACAAGACGCCCGACTTGTTGCTGCTCGAACAGCAGGTCGCAACCGAGGGCGATGCGCTCAAGAAGCTCAAGGAAGACGCCAAGAAGGCAGAGTCGGCCGACGACAAGGCCAAGCTCGACAAGGACGTCGAGACCAAGCTTGCTGGCTTCCTCGCACTGAAGAAGATGCTCGAGACACTCACCGCCTCATTGGCCAAGCTCGAACTCGAGGCCGAGTCCGCTGCCCAGTAAAAGGAGCAACAAAAGTGTAGACTTTGAGATCATTCGACATTCAATTTGCATTTCCTCTGTCAAGGTTCGGGCGAGGCAAGTGGGATGTCTAGGCTGCTGAGCGCGGGGGAGGTTGCGAGATCATAAAGTAGCCCAAGCTTGCATTTGCCTCTGCCGCCACTTGGAAGGGCTGTCGATCGTGCGCCACGGATTCGATGATCTTTGGCAGGGTGGACAGGGCGAGTCTGGAGCGAGCTTTGGTTGCGAGGACGTCGTGTTCGAGACGTTCGAGTGTCGCTAGCAGGCGTGCGGCGTTGATGGCGATGCTTTGGCAGTGGAACGTGAGTTCGACACGCTCGCTCGACTCGAGGCTGGCATACTGTGCCGACAGTGGCGGGCGCGAGAGATAGTGATGCGACGCAGTGGCAGAGAGCGCCGGATGCGCCATGTGCGCGCGGGCCGACGCGTGCGGCTGGATCGTCAGCGTACACGACGTTGTGTCGAACTCGAGCACACGTGCATCCGGCTCTTGCTCCGGCAGTATCCTCTCCGACCTCCCCGCACTCGCATACAGCTCACCTCGCGACTCGCCGATGGGTTTGGGCTTGAACCAGTCGCGGAAGACGCGATCCAAGCCCTCGGCGAGCGACTTTGAAAAGCGCAGCCGGTGGTTGACCGCTTCGTCGCCCCGCAGCAGCGCGGCGATGGTGGCATTGGTGTCCTGTATGCTCCTGCGCGCCGTGAGCGTGAGGATGAGGCTTTCAAACGAGTCGAGCGGGTCGAGCTGGAACGCGTAGCACGCCGGCTTGTGCGCAGCGCGGCGCGGCAGCCTTGCCTCCAGGCCCGCGGGGGCGGCTCGAGTGCCCGGCGGACCGGCCCAGTCGTACGCATCCAACGGCTCCTCCAGGCTCGGTCCGGGAGCGGTCGTCTGTGCCTGCTCACCGGTGTGGCGCGCCGAGCTCGTGCTGTTGCGCACGAGGTGATGACGATTGGCTGCCTCGAGGTTGTGCCTGAGGAAGGGGAAGGGCGCGCTGGCGATTTCGTGTGCGATGGCTCTTGCCCTTGACGTGCTTGCCGTGGAGCTGGATCGGCTGCGCGATCGCAGTGACGCTGCCGATGACGGGTTGCGCGACAGCCCAGGTCGGGATGGTAGCCGCTCTTCGAGGTCGAGTGAGCTGGACACGAGGGTCTGCATCGCGCGTTGCTGGTCATTCTGATGGAGCCCGGGTAGGAAGGGCTGGAACGGCGTCGCGACGTATGGGTTGGCGCCCGTGCGGATGCGCTCAGGTCCAACCGACACCGAGTTGCCTCGGCCTCTACCTGAACCGCGTCCGCCTCGAAGCCGCTCCGAGTCGGTGGTGACACGGCTGCTGGCGCCGTTAGCAAACTGGAAGACGGCGGCAGAGGACAAAGGCTGGCGCTTGGAGTATGCGCAGGGAGTGACGGAAGCAAAGTGGGAAAAGTGCAACGTATGCTTGGCGGTGACGGTGTCGATGGGTCGCTGGGCCTCAAATTCGAGCACGGTAGCGTCGTCTGGATCGGCCGAGTGGCATCCGATTCCGAGATAGCGCAGACAGTAGCGCTGAATGTGAGCCTCTACCAGATCGTGAAAGTGGTGGTTGGTGAGCGAGAGTGTGCGCACCAGCACCTTGGCTGGCAGAAAGACGAGGATGTATGCTTGAAGTTCGAGTGGAAGCCGGTCGAGCATGGTTATGACTGCAATGTGCGCGATGCAAAGCTGGTTCAGAGTAGTGTTGGTAGATGTGAAGGACGATGTAGGCGAGTAGCCTGATGCTCGAGCTGAGGCAAGAGAGGTTGTGGACCGGGGCGAGGACGAGGATGAGGAGGCCGGCACCGTCTCGAGCAACAGCCGTGCCGTGGTGCACTTTCATGCAGTCGCGTATGCGGACGGTTGAGCGAATCGAGGCTCAGGACCAGTCTCGTTCCTTCCCTATTTTTTGGGGGATGCACGTCAAACGCACAAAGGGTCGCAGCTGTGCATCTCGACCCTGCCGATAACGATGGCTCAGGCACCACACCACTCTCGACACGCGCTTCTCCACTTTTTCAGCCTCGACGCTCCGAAAGCTCGTCATATGGCCCGCCTCAGTTGGTTCCAGCTCAGCTCGCACCGAGTCACCATGATCGTCTGTTGTCGTGCAACGCTCCGCAACCCAACCATTTACCGCATCGATCCTCTTCACACTGCCAAATGCCGTCCATAAGCTGCCTGGGTAGCGCTCTGATGCCGGAGTCATCTTCTGAATTCGGTTCAACATCACCAACTTGGAGTGGAACGCCGTTCATCGCGCGCAACGGTCCACATAGCCGGATGAGCCCGAAGCGGTGCATAGGCCGAGGTTGAAGGTTGTTAGGGTTCACAGACGAACAGCTCTTGCGAGATTACGATTTGTTTGATCGCCGTCAATTCCCATCGAGCTTCGCATTTTAGAAAAATGGTATTGGTCATGTGACTGAATTTGAAGCTCGGCCGAGGTTTTTACGAAGCGCAATGGGCCCGTCGACGCGGAGAGCACGCATCAATTGACGAAGAATTCTTGGCCCCCAACCAAGCGAACTGAGGCAGCGCCCAGCACGCTGCAAAGTGCGTCAGATGGACCCGGGCGAAAAGTTGCCTTTTGGGCTCAGCGCCTGCTGGCTGTCGAATGGCTTCTCGAGAAGGCCGCGTCGAGCGGTCCAGTTGGGGCGCACAGCAGCGCGGCTTGTGAGTGTCGAATCCCAGTTTGAGAGCGCAGTTGATTGATCGCTGTCGGTGGGCCCAGTAAGGCAACTTGGCCGTCGACACCTGCTCCTCACCATCACCACCACCCATCCCATCAAGGTAAGTCTCGACAACACGTATGGCATCGCATCGTGCTGTTCGATCTGAGCACGGCAGAGCATCAATCTCGACCACACGCAGTCAGCCAATCCAACTTCCGACATTGTTCAACCAGCATAGACTGCTACCACTTCGAAGCATCAGCATCCATCATCCAAAAATCTCGCTATCTTCTGCACACGTACATCTTCGTTAGCGCTTCTGGAACGGACGCCTCTCGACGCTTTCTCTTGACCATTGACGTCTCGACCAAAAACTGCAAAAGACCCGACACAGCGCGGTGATCTTCGACTTGCACTATTGCACGCACCAAACTCGACCTTTTCTTCACATTTGCATCTTGTCCTCGTTCCGATCGCTTCGTTCGCCTGCTCAGATCAACAGCTCTACCGCACTCCGCCGACTCGTTCCGTGCACATTCACGACCGACCATTTCGCTAAACATCCCCCAACGCTCGCCCCGTTCCGCCCTCTTGCAGTGATTCAAGATGTCCAAGGCCGCCGTTGGTACCAAGTTCCGCATGACCCTGGCTCTGCCAGTCGGCGCCGTCATGAACTGCGCCGACAACTCTGGCGCCAAGAACCTCTTCGTCATCGCCGTCCACGGCATCGGTGCCCGTCTTAACCGTCTCCCTGCCGCCGCCGCCGGTGACATGGTTGTCGCTTCCGTCAAGAAGGGTAAGCCCGAGCTCCGTAAGAAGGGTAAGTATCACACTCTCGTTCCGTCAAAATCAGTAGCAGCAGTCGTCGTCGTCGTCGTCGTCGCCGCCAGCACCATCGTCCATCGGCACATCAGCACATCAGCACACCGACTCGCTACCAGCCGGCAGAAAATCTCGCATGGACACCGTACCAGAGGGTTTGGGTTGCAGGAGGGAGAGCATCACGTTGTAGGAAGAGACTTTCCGGTGCCCAGACTGTTTCTAGCTGCAAAGGAGCATGTTCGCCGTTGGCAAGCCAAGCGCAGCTGGCATGGGCGCGGTGTCTTCTTCACCCTTTAGTCAAGGGCCAAATCATTCTTGCAGGTCCGCAGGAAGCAAATCAGCAGGTTGCGGGCATCTGTTGGACGCAGGATCCGAGGAACGCTTGGTTTCCAAAAGGCTGGGTTCGGAGCATCGTTCAGCACATGTTTGATCCGCGAGCGCATGATGGTCGCCCTGGTGCCGATAATAGCGACAGGCAAACGACGACGCTGCTGCGCTTTCCTGCTATATATTGCAAACAGTGATACTGATACTTCGCCATTTCTCTTTTCCAATCTGCAGTCATGCCCGCCGTGGTCGTCCGCCAGCGCAAGCCCTGGAGGCGTCGTGACGGCGTCTTCCTCTACTTCGAGGACAACGCCGGTGTTATCGTCAACCCCAAGGGTGAGATGAAGGGTTCGGCCATCACTGGCCCCGTTGCCAAGGAGTGCGCCGACATCTGGCCACGAATTGCCTCCAACGCCGGTACCGTCGTCTAAGCGCGTGCATCTCTTTGCCGCTCTTGTTCCCTCCGCACCTCTTGTATTTCATACAGTCCGCATCTCACGGACTTTCGCATCTGTTGGCGGCGGGCGAACGCTGTCCTCACTCGCCCAACGTGCCTTGTCGTCACGTCCTACATCTGATACGACATCACTCTCACTCCCTCCTTCCCCCAAAAAATGACAGCATGCTCCTCATAACACGGCACTGGCTGCACAGCTTGTGCGGCTTTGTTCACTGAAGTGAGACAGACATAAAGACGAGACCACCAAAGTGAGGGCATGTTGAAGAACGCTTGTGTCAAGGCGAGACGAGGATTCGAGCCAGCTTCAAGGTGTGGAAGAGGCGAGTGGAGGCGGACGGTAAAATTGTTTACGTCGAAACCCTTGCTGACGTGGTTTGAGCGTTTTCCTTCTTCTTGGAAGACCACCAGCCGCGCCGTCGCTCATCTTCACCCTTCGCCGTGAACATGGATCTCGAAGCCTCGCCATGATTTGAGGGTGCCGAATAGGTCCTGAAGTCGGAGCGTGATGCGAGCGAGCAAGTTGCGTGCTCAGGACCCGCAATCATGACTTCCACAGTGGGAGGCGGCCACGAAGCCATCGACATCGACGTCGAAGCTCTCGCCGGAGAGCTGTCACGGTCCTCGATCCACGATCCCGTCGGGCATCTGCTGGTCCGGCTCGACGATGCACAAGGCTACGACAGGCTGCCGCAGCCCACCTTGCCGCCCGAGGTGCTCGAGAGGGTGGTGCGACACATCCAACCCGACGTGCTGGTTGGAGACCCCGTCGCTTACATTACGCTGGTGCGGCTCAGCTGCGTCAGCCGTCTCATGCGCCACTGGGCGCTCGAGGCACTCTATTCGATCATCATCCTTCCGCGCCACGTTCGCGAGTTCCGCAAGTGGTACTCGCGCTCCGTCAAGTCGCAACCGGCATTCCAGTTCGCAGGCTACAGCCGGGCGCTCTTCAGCGGCTTGGACGACGTTTCCAGACTGACCTCCTTCTCCGCCGGCTGGGACCACGAGCTCCTGCGCCTGCTGCACTATTGCGGCCCAACGCTCACACACCTGTCGCTGTGGCGTTCCGAGTCGATGGCGCTGCTGCGCGATCCGGGTCAAGTTCGCGAGGGCTACCGCTTCGGCACGTCTCAGCCCGTGCAGGTGTGGGGAGACAAGGAGGCGGATGCCGAAGTCGAGGCGGTCGATGACGAGGACGACGGCTTTGTTGCACCGCCGGAAGCGGCTCATGCGGACGACCTGTTCAGCAAAGAGGAGCTCGACGACATGCCCGGTTGGCTCCAGGCCGAAATCAGGCTGCAGGGTACTCGAGCCGTCACGATCCGGCACAAGGCGCATCTGACGCCCACGCGCCGCATCACGCGCCGGCAACAGGGCTGCCAGCCGACGCATCTCAGCATCATGATGAGCTTGCCGTTGCTGGAGCACGAAGACCCGAAAGTATTCCCGAGGATGCTCATCTGGCACCGGGTGCAGGAGCTCGACGTGCACATCTCCACTCCCGGCCACACGCCCAGGATCTTGCGGCTGCTCGCGAGTCTGCGCGAGTCTCCAATACGTCGGCTGAGGATCTCGACGAGCTTCTCTTCGCTTTGCATGATGACGCCGCCCTTCCCGCCGTCGAAAAGGGAGCAGCAAGCCCGGGAGAAGGGAGAAGACCTGGGGACGACCGACCACAGTGGGGCCTTCTTTGGCGAGACACCGTATGGGCGCATAAAGCCGCCTCTCAACCTGTGTGATGCGCTTACGAGCATCTTGCGGGACGAGGTGCTGCGAGGGGTGCTGGTCGACGAGCTGCAGGGCAAGCCGCACACCGCTGTTGCACATCTTGAGCACTTGATGCTTCGATGCTGCCTCGACGGTCCCAATCGACGATGGAGCAGCAAGCCAGACTGCGTCGAGGGTGCCGATCCAAGCACGCCTGCTTCGGCATTCGATACGCAGGCCAGGTCGTCGTCCCAGCCAGCGTGGGCAGCGGGCCGAGCGAGCGACTTTCGCCTGACCATCACGCGCGGAAACCAGGCCTTGTGGGCCAAACTCAAGGACCGCCTGTGGGACTTTCGCCAGCGCGCTGAAGGGCTCAGCGAAGGCTCGTGGGAAATGCTGTCATAGCCGAAGCAGCACCCCACTACAAGCACAGCCGGACGATGACAGCCATCTGCTCACAAGTTCATCTGCTTCGCAAGGCTTTCCACTCGGCTTTCTCAGTAACGAAACACCTCCTACGTAAGATAGAATGAAGACGATAATGGAGCATACCCTCGGAAATATGTAGTCCCCACCCTTCCGCCTGTCGATGACGTGAGGAGGCGATTGTTTCGTGTGAAGACATCGTATCGCTGTGCAACCGTGTGGAATACAATGATGGCCACAAGGCCGCATGCCGTATAGAGTGAAATGACTCGCATTTCCGGTCCGCTGTGGGACGGCGGCGGTCTGAATTGGCTCTTGGATAAAGTTGAGTTAAGGCGCGGCTTTTGGGTCGGGCAATCAGGCACAGGCACAGCCAAAGGCAGCGGCAGAGCGAAGGCGGCAGCAGAGCGCGGCTTCGTACTTACCCGCAACCCGAAAAAAAGGCCCGGCTACCGCCACGTTTGGCGATAGCATCGCTCGCCGTGTCGCCCTCCCACCATCCACCTCTGTCCATGCTCGTGTGCGCAAGCTGCTGCTCAGCAAACAGCTAGCCACCGTGCTTCCGCGGCAAGTGCGACGCTCGTCGGCAGCAGCACCTCGCACCCCTCACCACCGCCTCGCAATCGCCGTCGTCACAGCCACCGCACTCTTCACCCACCTCGTCTGACTTATTTGCTCGATCAATTACGATACTTTGGCTAGCGCCGCCAAGCTCGCGGGAACACTGCTGCTTTTCGTGTGGTCGCCCATCATGCAACCGCCACAACACATGCCCATCAACATGGGCCAGCCGTCCGGCAGCATCGACTCGTCAGCACATCAAGTCGGTCATTCCGCTAACACGCTCTTTCCCGGGGGCTTGCCGCATACCTCGATGCCCAACGATCCGCTCACCGCTGCACTCGGCTTGCTCCCGCCCGAGCTGCTCCAATCGCACCAGCACCAGCATCTACATCAGCAATTCGCCCAGCTACCTTCATCGCAACCCGTCGGGTCTGCATCGCTGCTTTCGCATGTGCACAGTCAGATGCAGACTTCACACGATTCGCTGCTCCCTCAAGCGCCGCATGTTGCACACGGCTCATCTGCTTCCGGCCTCTCACAGCCCCCTCAAGTAGACATGCGCCAAGCCCCCCAGCTGTCGAATAACCAGCCCGGTTCCTCGCAGCAAGGTCAGCCGCATCAGCAATCGCGATCGCGTCATCAGCAACGCTCACCAGCCACAGCTCAGCACCAGCAGCAGCAATCCCAGCAACCCCAGCCGTCTCAGCACCAACAGTCCTCGCGTCAATCTCAACCCCTTCCAAATCATCAGGGCCAGCAGGGGCAATCCTTGCGTCCCCAGGGCCACGTGCATCTCAACCACGGCCAGCATCAGTCGTCGCCCCAGCCTCAGCAGCCGCCAAATCTGGCCCAACTGCTCGGCTCCGCTTCTACAGCCCAGACGCACCAGCCAGCTCTGTTGCAGCAGCATGCCTCGGTCCTCGCCGACGTGCGCTCCTCCATGTCCACCTTCTCGGCCTCCCTGCACGATGCAAAGCAAAAGACGCCTGCCGACCGCGCAGACATCCGCAACGTCGTCTCCATCCTCGATGGCGCAGTCAAGACGCTTGCGGCAGAAATCGAACAGGGCGTAGTCAAGCTTCGCGCGCTTCAAGGCTCTGCGGCTCTGAACAGCTTTGCTGGACTCCTTTCCGGCTCCAATGCCAATTCGATCGGGCCCGGCTCGACAAACGGCAACGACTTGTTTGGCGCTCTCAACCAGTTCGGCCTGCAGCAGAATCAGCAACAGCAGCAGCAGCACGGCAATCAGGGGCTGCCCTTTGACCTCGGCCTCGGCTTCCACCAGCAGTCCCAGTCGAATGGCATGTTCAACATAAATGGCACGCCCAACTCCAACGGTCCTAATGGCGGGCCTTCGGGACTCAACGCGCCCTTCCATAACGACGTGACCATCGGTCAAGGCGGGTCAGGCTCGCAGAATGCCTCGATGATGTCCTCGTTGCTGGCGCAGTACCTGTCTCAATCTAACGACCCGGCTGGCCGCCTGGGTGCGCTCTCGCTCTTCCAGTCTCTCGCCGGCGCGGGTGGCGCAGGATCTCTGCCCGCCGGCATGCAGGGCCTCGATGCGCTGTTGAACCAAGCTTTGCCCCAGCAAACCCAGGCGCAACAGCAGACGCAGCAACAAGCTCGACCCGGTCAGCAAGGCGCGCATCTTCCAAATGGGGCTCCGCTCACAAATGCTGCCGCCCTCGCCGCTTTGACCTCTCTCGGCGTGACACCAACCATGCTCGAGGCCTTGGGTCTGGGATCCGTCGCGCAGCAGATGCTCGAAGCCCCTGATGACGGTCCCAGCACGAACAGCAGCAAGCAGAGGTCCAGATCGCCCGACATGCGCGAGGACAGCCCAGAAGCTGCCTCGGTCGAAGGCTCGTCCGAACCCTCTCGCAAGAAGAGGAAGCATGTGCGTGGCAAGGTCCAGATTCAACCTGACGTGGGTGTCTCGAGGCCGCCTTCAAAGATTGTGGAGAGCAAGGCCACTTCAGAATCTCGCCCTGGACCTGCATCTGCGACGCCGACCTCGCCACCTATAGCCAGTGCCGCGAATCGCGATCGCAACGTTGCGTCGAGCTCGACCATACCTGGCTCAGCAGGGCCATCCGACGCTTCGAAGCGCATCCCGACGCTCGGTGTCGGGCTGCGACAGGAGGGCGACAAGCGCTATCGCAACCGCAAGCTTCTTCGCGATCTGCGAGAGCATCTGTACCGATGGCTGGGAACCGACGAGTTCCGCAAGCTGCGCAACACGTACAAGGTGGCCGAGTGGGTGCCGAATCCGCATCTGACCGACGAGGAAAAGCAGATCCTCGCCTCGCTGCCGCCGGCAGCGGTGGCGCAGCCGCCCATCACGACGCACATCTTCCATGTGGACTTTACCAGCCGCGACTTTTACCGCACCAACCAGTCGCTCATCGATGCCATCGTCGCAGAGGGTTCCAAGAAAGTCGAGGCCAAGCCCGAGGCGTATGCGATTGTTCCGGGCACGATCGACCGCGACCACTTGGAGGACGTGGCCAAGGATCTGATGGACTCGGCTCGGTCCGGATTCCGCATGTCGCTGCGCACGGGCTTGCAGGCGGAGAAAGAGGACAAGGAGAAGCACGAAAAGTACCGAGGCGTTGAACGAGCCAAGACCAAGTGCAGGAACCGCGAGATCGGAGCGGGTCGGCTGCGACATGCGATTCCCAAGCAGCTGCTCATCCCTGGCGCGTATTCGGACGATGCGGCAAGTGACGAGGACCTGCACGGGCTGACCAAGTCCGAGTGGAAGCGGCAGAGGCTGCGTAAGCTGCGCATTGCCAAGGGTTGGGAGGCGGTGACGCCCAAGTGGCGCAACAAGCACCTCACGCGCGCATACCACAAGGCGGACATTGTGAGCAAGAGCAAGCAGATGGCACGCTGGCGTCGGGATGATCCGGTGGATCTGCCGATCCCGATCAAGCTGTACGGCAAGCTGCTGCCCAAGCAGCTCTTCGATCCGGACTGGCTGGCGGAGCATCGGAAGGAGCTCGAGGAGGAGCCGTACTGCATCCGCATCAACGACAACGACATTGACGGCTGGGAGGAGTCGCACCATCCGCTGGGCGAAGACACGAGCGACGAGATGGAGTGGAGCGATGCCAAGGAGAGCTCGCTGCGCGGACGACAGCTCACCTCGGCGCCGTCGAGCAGCCGTGACAGGGGGTCAAACACTCAATCACCCGCTCCGATAGCTGGCTCTTCGAGTGTGCCTATAACGCGCCCGGGCGAGGACAGCAAGGCTGGCTCATCCACGCCCGTATTGCAAGCCTCGAGCAGCGCACTTGCGGCTTCCGAGGCCGCGCAGCCCGAGGCGGACAAGGCGCCCGAAAGCAAGACTCTAGCACAGACCGCATCGGAAGCCGAAGCGACCAGCAGCATCTCTGGCAGCTCGCGCTCTGGCAACGTGGACACTGCCGACACGGGCGATACAGGTGCCAGCGAGTCCGAGTCCGACGTGTCGACGACCGACAAGCCCCCCGCCGCACCCGCCCAAACCGACGCCATGTCAATGTCCGATTCGTAGCATCCTACTGTCCCCCTCTGATCTGCTTAATACAGTCCAACTATGGCTTCCGAGTTATACTACTTCTTCATCAGACTGTGCAGTCTGGACATTCGCCCGAGCGTCACAGACACCCAGTCCTTCCACCGCCTCCAAGTGAGATGGAGGTGCACGAAGTCCAGCTGCGAAAAAGGAGGAATCAGGAAATGGGCATAAAAATGAAAAGCTCCGGGAGCCAGAAAGAGCCAAAAAAAAGTTGAGCTTAAAGATCTCCGAATCCGGGAATTGAACCCGGGTCT